CCCAAACAGGATACTCTGCCATCCCAAGGATGGGCGTGATCGAGCAGTTGCGGCCATAAAAGTTCCTTGAGGGTAATACTTCCCTTTATACAGTTGAGCAAGGAGGGAATGAGGTTCATTGAGAATTCGCCGGCCAATTTTTGCTAAGAGAGCTTGGTTAAAATGTTCAAACCAGCTAAATCCCATCCCCCCATCATGTTTACTCCTGCACAAATTGCGCCAGGACAACCACCGAACCTTGGGATGGCCCTCCTCAGCACCCCACCAGAACCGGGCCAAATGCTTATCCAAAAGTCGACATAGAGAGAGGTGTAACCGGAAACACGACATAACATGCAGGGGTAAGGCCAAAGCTACTGACTTAATTAAAGTCTCCTTCGCCGCCCATGACAATGTCCTCTACTTCCACCCCTGTAGTCACTCCAGTAATTTCTCTTCTAGATAACGGAATGTCGCCATTTTGGAACGGGCAATCAAAGTGGGTAGCCCTAGATACTTGTCATGGACCCATACTGCACCGACCCCAAGAATCGTGGCCAAGAACTCTTGATCTGGCAAGGCAACATTTTTGCTGAAACAGACCGCAGATTTCTCCAGATTAACCCGTTGACCACTCAGCTCCTCATATTCATTCAACACCTCAATTAAGTTCTCTCACTCCTGAAGATAACCTCACAGGAATAAGTAAGAATCATCCGCGAAGAACAAGTGAGAGATTCTTGGAGCACGAGGAGCCACCTTCACCCCCTCCAACTTCTTTTCTGAGATCGCTTTCCGAAGAAGGGCCGCAAACCCCTTCGTGCATAACACAAACAAGAGAGGCCACAATGGATCCCTCTATCGAAGCCCCCGAGAGGAAGTGAAGTAACCCGAGGGTGTACCATTCATCAGGACTGAAAAAGAAGCGGAGCGAAGACATTCATGTATCCATCCTCGCCAGACAGAATTAAAACCCATTTTATCCAAAACTGCCAGAAGGAAGGGCCATTCGACTCTATCATAGGCCTTTTCCATGTCTACCTTTAGAGCCATGTACCCCTTCTTCCTATGCATCTTAATTTTTAGATAATGCAGTAACTCATGTCCGAGAAGGATGTTATAGATAATCTGCCGGTCTCTTATGAATGCATTCTGACCCTCAGAAACGATCCGAGGGAGCAGACCTGGAAGCCGTTCAGCCATGATTTTGGTTATTACTTTATAAACAAACTGACAAAGGCTGATCGAACGCAACTGGCAGATTGTTTCCACAGAATCTACTTTAGGAATCAAAGTGAGCCAGGTATGATTAAATCTCTGTCGCAATCGGCTAGTTGTTAAGAAAGAACATACTGCTTCAATCACCGAAGTGCCCACAATATCCCAGAAAGCTTTGAAGAATTTCCCGGTGAAGCCATCCGACCCAGGAGCCTGCTTCGACCCCATAGAGAAGACCGTTCTTCGAACCTCGTCTGGCAAAACCTCCGCCATCAACTGCGCATTCATTTGCGGAGTAACACTGTGGGAAATGAGGAGATTCGCCACCCTATCGGTTATATCAGGGACCTGGGACTCCGAGGTAAACAGAGTCTGGTAAAAGTTGGTAGCAATAGTAGCTTTTCCACTTTCCTCAGTGACCCATTCGCCCTCATCATTACGAAGCCAAGAAACAAAATTTATTTTACGCCGCACGCGAGTGACTGTATGGAAATAAGCAGAATTCTGATCCCCTTTTTTTAACCACCGGACCCTTGAATTTTGCTGCCAGTATATCTTCTCTGCTTCCCACTGACGAGTCAACTCCGTTTCCAGGGTCCTGATCACATCCCAATCCACCGGATAGATTGCCTTTATCCGATCAATCTTTGTCTGGAGAGTCTTGATATTCCTCAGGGAGTTCGTAGTGCCCGCCTTGCTCCAATCATAAAGCAGATGGCGAAGTTTCTTAAGGCTCTCCCATAGTCGAAACATAGGGGTCCCTTGGAACTCTTCCTGCCAGACATAATGGACCATAGCCTTAACCTCTGATTATCCGCCCAACGGGCATCAAACCGGAATAGACGCCGACTACTCCGAGTATACAGTTTATCAGCAAGAAGAAGGGCTCGGTGATCCGATCCCTGGTCCGTAAAGTGTTTGACCAGAGTCTCCGGATAAGTATCAACCCAGGATTGGGAACAAAGCGCACTATCCAGACGTTCACGAATGCACGCTGCACCCATATGCTTGTTCGTCCAAGTGAACTGATCCCCTTGATAGCCTGGGTTATGGAGCCCCAAATCATGAACAAAGTCACAAAGACTAATGGCTTGCGCCGCACTCCATGCCCGAACCCCATCTTCTTCACCCTCCTGGAGGGTAGTGTTGAAATCACCAATGATCACATAAGGGTCACTAATATTCACGCAGCCTTCTCTGAGGTGAGCCAATTGGGTAGCTCAAACAACAATATTACAACTAATGTAGACAAAGATCACCACATAAGAAAAATCTCCTTCATTAATTTGCAAACAAATATAGAAATTGGAATGACAAAACACCGAAGTGTCAACCCCGGGGGACCAAGCGACTACTAAACGAACCGATACATCGAATGCATCAACAAAAAAACAATGAGAAATAGGAAAACCTAAACCCCGCATACGACGTGAGACTACACGCCGGCTCGATCGCGTTTTCGAAAAAAATACGAGATCCAGTTTATTAGAATGAACAAGCCCTACAGCAGTTTACAAAGTGAGGGATGGCCCAATTCCTCTCACATTACAGGCCAGAATCCTCATTTATCGGCTGGGGGCCACTCGAGGCAGGCTTCCTCCACCTTTTCCAGGACATCCACTGATTCTGATTCCACAAATTGCTTCTTCGGGGTAGGGGGATCACCCACATCCCCATCCAACTCATCAAGTCCACGCTTCCGATTCTCCATATTTAGGTCCATCAGATTTGACCCTTACTCATTAAGGTTCGAGCGAGGCCTCTTGCAGGACACACCCTCCTCCCGAGCACCGAGCCTTTCTTCAAAAGCCTCCACCACTTGGTGAACTCGCCCAGTCAAGACTTGACGAGTCTCCACTGAGACGCCAGCTGGTGACCTTCGCTTGATCTCAAACTGGTGGTGATCTTCAGCCGATTGATCACCATCTGAATCCGTGGTATGCTGATGATCCTCATGAATAGACCATCCCGAGAAGCCTCAGTCACTATATCCTCCAGCCCAAGCGGAGCACCAGGTGGAGCAGCTCCCCCAACTTGGTTGGCTATAGTCAACTGCACAGGTAGCTCCACCTTTCCTCAGACGCGGTCGAACCCGGTGCGGGGAAACCCCTGTATGGTTGGCGACTTTGGAGGGTAATGGATGGTTCTCCTGAGGCTGGTGGGGGGGATCATCAGGAGGACCAGAAGTCGCACGAGCCTGCATTGATGGTATGGTCTTCTCACCCGCAGTCTCTTCCTCCTCCTCACACTCCTCCTATAGGATCAACCTTCGTTGTCGGGAAAGCCATCTCTACCTGGTCTTCCACCTGCTGGAGATGGGGTGCCTTCCTGGCACGTCTTCCAGCCTACTGGCGACCCTTAGTTATTGGCCGAGGAAGAAAGGAAGCATTTCTGGGTGATAGTTTTTTCTGGTGCGACCGAACACCACCACCAATCTTCACTCGAGGCGATGTCTTGAAGAAAACCCCCTTAGGGCTAGCACGATTACCCACCGGTTTGGGCTTGAGCTCCTGCAACCTAGGTTGTAGCTCTTTGTCAGCATGATTCTTCGGCTCCCCTGTCAGAGAATGAAGCAAGCCTTGATCAATTGAGCGATCAAGAGGCAGAGGCCATGATTCTATCTCTCGAGTCCTGGCAGTATGCGAACTCCAAGTTTTGTGCAAGTAAGCATTCCTGTTCACCCACACCGATTTGCTGGCGGTGCGAAACTTAGGGTGATCCTCCTCGTCCATGCAGACCTTCCTTCTTGGCTCTCTTGTAGACATATGCGGACCGAAACGTTCTTTACCCGGCGGTGGAGCATAAACACATTCTCGTTTCGAGTGCCCCACGCGGCCACAAAGGTAGTAGAAGGTTGGTAAGAATTCATACTTGAGGTTAACCCAGAAGTTGCCAAGCTCGTCACTAACCGCCATGAATTGAGACCGCAAAGGTTTGTTAAAGTCAATGAGAGCATGCACTTTCACAAAGCATTCATCAGTGTCTTTGGAAGCAAAGACATCAGCCTCCAAGACTTGACCAATAATACCAGCTGCCACTTTCCGGCCAAACTGTTTCGTGCAACAATCTTCTTTCACATTCCATAGTTGAACGTGAAAGGGAGCAATGGCCAAATCATCAAAAATCGGCCTTGTAATAAAGGGTGTCCAGGATCGGAGGTTGAGAATCCTGTCCTTAACAATCCATGGAGATATTTTTAGAAGCCAAACCCTCATCTCCTCACTGGGAAGAACAATTTCAAATAGGCCAAACTTAGTGGCCAAAACCCTAAGGTTTCCTTGCACCCGCCATGCCTCAAGCAGGCCCTCCCTCAACTCACTAGGAGTGAATGTGGTTTCCGAGAATAATCTCCCCAAAAGAGTCCTCGAAGTTCGAAATTTCACCGATTGGACTTCGTCGAGCGAAAATTCAACCACTTGATCCTCCGCTATACACGCCATTGCAGTCACCTGACACAAGGGGATAGATAAATTATTAGAAATAACGGGGTCAGCCCCAACCTGCCTAATTAATAGACACAGCGATAGAGAATCTTGTGGGCTGGCCACAAACAGATATGGCGGAATAAAACAAAGCGGACTGTCCACAAGCAATTTGTATGTGACAAGATTACCCATCCGCATCCGTGGTCTTTATATTGCTGCCCCTCCATTGATCATGGTTTTGTAGCCTACAAAACCCAAGGGGTTTCGTATGGGATCCTCTGCCTTTTTAAACTACGACCATAATTGTTTTAAGATAGTTTCAAAAAAATAATCCCCACAACTAATTACTATTCTTAAAAATGGCTTTCCATATCTCTCTCAAATTCTAAAATTTTATAGGGGTGTTAATCGGTCGCCGGTTATTCAGTAAAACCAAAAACCGAACCGAAATCCGCGGTTAGTCGGTTTAATCGAAATCGATTATTTGTGTTCGTTGTCGGCGTCGGTTGTCATTTTCAGGCAATATCCATAACCGGAAACCGACGGTGGCTAACCGAGAAAACTCGGTGCACCGATAAGTAACCGTCGAATGAAATAGAAGGCTAAAGGACACCCTCTGCTCGCCCCATCCAGAAGCTTTTCGACCTCTACCAGATCTGGCCTCCCCACCTCGTCCTTCAATCTCGACATCGTCGTCCCAATCTCCCCAATCCCAACCTCAGTGCCCCAACCAGACATGCACCACTACACTCTCATTCTCCGCCGAAGTTGTCGCCTCCGCCGATTAGAAGGCGGCGACAGTCGAGACCCATCAAATGAGGGAAAATAGGGTCGATTCCCGTGAAGATTGAGTGCAGGTCTCCATCGTCCATGCCTTCTTCAGCCTTGGAGGTGGACGAGAACTGGAAAGATTTGAAACCTCCAACCTTCGGCGGCTCTTTCTCTTCGTCCTCTGCCGCCGACTCTAGATTCGCCGCTGCCATGCCCTTCTTCCCCTTCCTAGGTCGCCGTCAGTTGTCTCCCTGCCTTCAAGATCGTAGATTGAGGGGCTTTGGAGGGTCAGAGAGAGAGGAGGAGAGAGAGAGAGAGAGAGAGAGAGAGAGGGATTTGGGGAAGGCAGATAGGAGATTGAAAAGGGGGGGAGAGAGAAGGATTTGATGAAGACGGGAGAGGAATAATAATAGGTCCCCAATCCCCCAAAATTGACAATTCTATTAACTTTTGTGGTTTCATGGTTTGAGGACTAACCGCACCAACGATTGCGGTTTCGGTGTCGGATAACCGACCATGTGTATCGGTGTCGGCTTCGGTTGGGAGTTTGGGCATGTAATCGGTTGCGGTTAACCGACCTGTCGGTTCGGTTAAACCGTAACTGAACCGACTATCACCCCTAAAATTTTATATTCCTCACTCCCCATTGTTCTATTTTCTTCTTCCTATTCCATGTTTCTGCTCAGGTCCTCGCTTCCTTCCCCCACGATGACCACGAGAAGGAGATCAGAAAGTTCCCCACGACGACCACAATAAGGAAATCCAAAAGTACCTTGTTTGTGCCTTGATTGCTTCTTTCCCACGCGCCCAGGATTCGACAACACCTGCGTAGTCCTCAACCAAAACCCAATCCGAATGACGACTAGCATTTCAACTAGGGCTGGCTATTTGGTCTCGGACTGTTTTGTTTTACCCGAAACCGAACCGTATAACCCGGACTGGGACCGGATAGCAAACAATGCAATCTCATATTCGGGCTTAGATTTGAGGTATAAAAACTGGATAAAGACCGGATAAGAGACCCCCAACACCTAAAATCAAGATAAAATTGGGACCGGACCGGATCAAGACCGGACTGTATCCAATCCAATCTTTGGTCCTTATATTCCCGAAAAGACCAAACTGGAACGGGATCAATTTGGTCCAATTTAACCGGACCGGACCGTATAGCCACCCTAATTTCAACCCACACTCTCGATAAAATGTGCCCCTTGTGCCTCTGCAGCCACTGAACAAGTATTGGTTTGAACTGTTTTTCAAAACTCATATATGAGTTTTGTATTATGATATTGGTTTGGGCTGAACTAGTATTGATCCACACTGAATTTGTATTAGTTCGTGTAGAACTGGTATTGGTTCCCGTTGAACTGGTATTCATATATCTGAGTTGGTATTGTTTTGCGTTGAACTTACATGTGTTGGTTCGTCAGCACTGGTATTTGATTTGTTTTGAACTAGTATTTGTGTTTCTGAAGTGGAAATGTTATTTTTTTTATGATTCGGTTCTGATATATACTTTTAGGGGGAGTTCTGCGGTGGCTAGGGTGAAATTGGAGGTACCGCATACATTGAGTAAGAAAACACTATCCTGAACTTGAATTGACTGATCTTTCAGACATGATACTATACTCTAAACCTTAAAGATCAAAATATAGGTATTAATTCTCTAAATCTTATACCCCAAGATCAATTTAATTAGAAATAATAATCGACGGTTATGATTCGTCCAAATATAGACAAAAAAATCAATGCACCATCTTAGGGTTTATAGTTTATGATTTATATAATTAGGACCTAGTGTTCACTCATTGAGGGTTAGGGTATAGTATCATGCCCAAAAATCCTGCTAAGTCGAGGTCTAAATAACTTTTGAATACTCAAGTAATGCGATACCCCGAATTTCTACCAGGATATTGTAGAAGTCACCATATTTTTAGTGGTATTGGTTTGTCTGAGCTAATGTTGATCGCCTTAGTGAGACAGAGAAAGAATCAAGAAAAAGATAGAGGTGATTGGAGAACTCATTAAGTGAGAACGAGAGAGAAAAAAATATTAATTTATATATATTTATCCTAAAAATATAATTTATAAAAAAATAAAAAATATTTATTTTTCATATCCGACTTGTTTTTAGTTGTCACCATGACACCGAACAAAAGATCATTACATCACCATGACTACTACTATTGACCATATCCTTTTCCACTAGGTGCTGCACACCGGACAAATACACTTCAACATCAAGGAACTTGCTCTCCACAGCATTTGACAAAAAAAATATTCAGCACCTACAACTTGCTTCCCACGGCTAATAATCGTTTTCTTCTCACAATTTATCCAATATTATATATACACTCACCAGCTTATCAACTCCATAATCCCCTCCCCTCCATAAACGTCAACCCAAAGAGATCGAGAATCCAAAATGGAAGCAGCCTCCACCCACAAACCTGCCTACGACCGCCTGGCCGAGCTCAAGGCCTTCGATGAAACCAAATCAGGGGTGAAAGGGCTATCAGATGCTGAAATCACTCACCTCCCTCGAATCTTCCACGCCCCGCCTCATCTCCTCGACAACATCTCACCTTCCGCCGCCGCACCAGATCCTCATCACCACCACCATCCCAGTCCCATCTTCCCCATCATTGACCTGGAAGGCGCCACCGATGATCCGGCCAAGCGAAACGCGATAGTGAACAAGTTAAGTGAGGCATCAGCCAATTGGGGGTTCTTCCAGATCGTGAACCACGGCATCCCGTTGACCACCCTCGACGAGATGAAATCAGGGGTCCGCAAGTTCCACGAGCAGGACGCGGAGCAGAGGAAGCAATTCTACACCCGCAATTTCAGCAGCAGGATCGTCTACAACAGCAACTTCGATCTCTTCACCGGACCGGCTGCCAACTGGAGGGACACGGTCTCTTTCAACATGGCTCCCGACCCACTCAAGCCCGAGCAGCTGCCGACCGTGTGCGGGGAAATCGTGGCAGAGTACTCTGCAGAAGTGGTGAAATTGGGCGATTTGCTGTTCGAATTGTTGTCGGAGGCTCTTGGTTTGCGTTCGAATTACTTAAAGGATTTGGATTGCGGGAGAGGGATTCAGATGGTTTGCCATTACTATCCGGCGTGTCCTCAGCCGGAGCTCACCCTGGGAGCGACCAAACATGCCGACAACGATTTCATCACGGTGCTGCTACAGGACCACATTGGTGGGCTGCAAGTTCTTCATCAGGGCAAGTGGATTGATGTGCCTCCGTTGCCTGAGGCTCTAGTGATCAATATTGGGGATTTTCTGCAGCTGATTTCGAACGACAAGTTCATAAGTGTGGAGCACAGAGTGCTGGCGAACAGCATGGGGCCGAGAGTATCGGTAGCGTGCTTGTTTGGGACATACCTTTTCCCCAATCCGAGGAAGTATGGTCCGATCGAGGAGCTGTTGTCGGAAGAGAATCCGGCTAAGTATAGGGAAACGACGACGGCAGAGTATGTCTTATGTGGGAACAATAAAGGGCTTGATGGGAGTTCTACTTTGTTGCAGTTCAAGCTCTGAAACTTGGGGTTGGTTGAACAGATCTTGTGGCTTGAGAATAAAAGTGTGTAATGGCCTTTCACGGACATCTGATAAACTGAGAACGGGTAATGATGTAATTGTAATGAACTAAGGTGGAGTTAATTACAGTCGGTAATTGCAAACTAGGGACGGGATAAGGTGGGGGTGTAAGATTCACAACAAGTGTATTTTGGGTATAAAAAAATATATTAATTACCTTTTGTATATTAATTATATTGGAAATTAAAAACTCATATTAATTACAATGTTTTTGAAATTTAAATTCTATGCATTAATATCTCTATCTAACTCTCTCTTCCTTTCTCCAGCCGCCACTCCACATCGAAAGACAGACTTGCGAATTCTCTCCGGCGGACTTCCTCCGGCAACCTGAAAAAATGTACCAGTGCGTTAAAAAGTGTACCAATTCATTAGTCTAATGGTAATTAATATACCAGTGCTAGTGGTACGCTACGAGTGCGTTAAAAAATGTACCAATACTAGTGGTGCGCTACCACTACCATATTGTATCGTACCACCAGCACTGATAGCTGTACCACTAGCATTGGTAACGGTACCAGTAGAGAATAAAACAAAAAAAAACAGATGATAGTGGTACGAGATGATAGTGGTACGCTACCACTACCAGCTATCTTATGGTAGTGGTAGGTAGGGGTGGAAATTGGGGTGGGTGTGGTTACCCGCCCTACATTTTGCCGGTACCCACACCCACAAATTTACAATTGTGCTACCCACAACCCGCACCGCAGTGGTTAGTGGGTAACCACTACCCACTGTGGGTTTGTGCGGGTTGGGTGTGGGTACCCGCAAAAATCCATCTTTGCAAGCATAGAGTTCTAGTCGCCACTAACGAACGTATTTGTTGTTCGTACTAGACTATAGTGATATACACTTGTGTTGTTCGTGGAGATACAATTTTGTACATCGATCTTACTCAACTTGAAGAATTTTTTTTTTTAGTTTGGTGTTCAACTATTGTGTCAGAGAGCTGTGATTTCATATTTCCCCTACTAGGGGTGAAATATGACAATTAAATATAATTTTGTATTTTTTTCACACAAAAGCAAAAACATACTGATAAAAGTTGGAAAAAGTGTTCACTTTTAATGAATTGATTATTCTCCACTCTATCGATTATATTGTTTTATAAACTAAAAAAATTCTTACATAAAACTGATTAGGTGTGTCTTTTTTATTTGGTGGCTACTTTAATTTTTATCCTCGCACTTTTCACATACTATCATATTATAAAGTTAATTCACAAAATAAATATAATTAGTGTGGTTATTGTGGATTTTGTGGGTTAACCGCGGTGGGTAGTGGATAACCACTAACCACAAAAATCGTTATTTTACTACCCACACCCAACCCACTACCCCACAACTTGTGGGTATGGTTAACCACAATAGATGCGGGTTGGTGAGGTTTGCGGATTATCCACAACCCGCAACCCAAACTTCCACCCCTAGTGGTAGGTACCACTATCACTAGTACGCTACCAGAAGAAAAATGGTAACACTAAAAAACCAGATCTAGAAAAGAGGAGTCGGTGACAGGAGAGAGAAGTAGGGGAAGAGGGTGACTTCGCGACGGCGGCATTGGTGGGGGATGAAGGGCGGCGAGAGGGCTCCGACAGGGAGAGGATGATTGTGCTGCGGTGATGGGAGGCAGACGTTGCGACGGGCCGGCGGGAGACATTTGCAACAACGGGGTGTGGAGGGAGGCTGAGAATGGCGGAGACGACAACGGTGGAAGGCTCGACAGGCGGCTGTAGGCGACAGGGGAGCCGATGCCGGCGGTGGAGGGCTGTGGCGGTGGAGGGTTCTGCGAGAGAGAGGGAGGAGAGACGGTGATGGCTACGTGAGAGAGGGAGGAGAGAGGGAGGAGAGAGAGGGAGGATGGAGGAGTTAGGGTTTTTTTTTTCTTTTTATATGGTAGGGTGAATGATTGGGTGTGGTTAATTTTTACCCTTCCAAAAACACCCTTCCTTTAATCTTAACCGTTAATTTAAAAAAAAAAGAGACAAGAGAGAGAGCGTATCCAAAGACTAAGAAGTTTTGTCACTGTATCCCGTCCATTGCAAACTATTATATGGTCGAAACTATTTCTTGACTAGAATTATCAATTGATTGCAATAACGAGTTGATTTGTTTGTTTGGATGGTTAAGAAGATACGGTGTGTTAAATTTACTTAGATCTAAATGATTTGAAGGAAAAATAAAAATTAAGAAAGGAAAACTTGCGTAGAGAGTATAAACTCGAAAAGCCAACAATAATAATTGGTTTATATTTCTATTTCCTTTCCATTTTGTTAGTCACTTACCCTTCATCTCTCCTATTTCTTTCATTTTCATCTTTGTCTTTTTTATCAAACCCTAATTAGTATATTAAATGAATGATTCACCAATGATTTTATGATGACCTAGCCCAAAAAAACAATGATTTTATGATGACCAACCCTATGAATAGAGAGCCAACAATTTTTCAAATTGTACTTGGGTTCAGTCCGTATGAAAACAGAGCAAATACCATATGGTTACACCATGCTCCTCCCAAATGTCAAGTAAGAGGATATGGAAAGCCCAATCGTAACTGGTACTGCTAATAAGTGCTAATTAGGATGTCGCACTGCAAAGCCTATTATCTCTGTAACGGAGGCCCATGAAGGCAACCGGATCACTTGTCTAGGGTGAATTATTACATGAATGGCTAAACATCGCCCTAACTTTACTGTTATCGTCCTAACTTTAAATATAAAATTACTAAATTAACCTTAATAAATCCAACAAACACACAATCCTACAAATTCAAATCCCTATTTACGTTTCATCTCTGCCAATGAGGCCGGCGGCGTCCCTCCCCCACCTACGTTGGCCACCTGTCCTGTCATCGTCGGACTCCTCCCCGGGCGGCAATCCCTCCGATGTGCTGCCGCTGTTCAACCTCGGTTCATCTAACTGGAGATGGAACCTCCTTCATTAGTTGGCTTCATTTTTACGTGGCCGACGCCGTTCTCCTTGTTATTAGTTCTTTGATGCATTGGGGAACTTTGAAACCCGATATGTCAAACATAATTGAAGATCTTCATTGTTTTAATTGATTAGAAAGTAGGTGGATGTGGTTTGTCTTGGAGGGTGGTAGTGGTGGCGATGGGTGGAGGTGGTAGTAGCTAGATTAGTTTTGTTAGAATAAAAAGTCTCGACAATTATAAAAGGATATAAATGTAACTTTAGTTAATGGCTATTATAGAGTTAGGGTGACAATTAGCAATCCCCATTATTATAGGCGATTTGCTTTATTTATTTGAATAATAAATATGTTGGTAAAATTGAAGTTTTGAAAAATCATGTATATATGAGGATTTGGGTTCATTATGAACTTGAAAAACACAATTGTTTGTTTTATAGATTTTATAATGGATTTTGTTAATTAGATTTGGATATATGAAGTGAAATTGATCTTGTTACTCTCATTGGTATGAGAACAAAGGAAATAAGAGGGAGTATAACAAATGATGGACTTGAATTACCACATAAAGGGACGAAATTTTCAAGTCCGTGGAGCCCAATATAAGGTACCCTCAAAGTCCATGGCCCCCACAAGAAACAATGTAGTTTGGACAAAGTCTATATAAATCCATCAAGCAATCAACCCTCATTTTCTTCGTGGATAAGAAAAATGAAGGTTTTGGTAAAACTTGGGTTTTGTAAAACCATAGAAATATGACGACTTTGAATCATTATGGACTTCAAAAATAACATTGTTTATTTCATAGATTTCATGAGGGATTTGGTTAATTAGATTTGTATGTATAAAGTGAAATTGTCAGATATTACCCTCATTGGTATGTGAGGAGAAAGAAAATATGGGGGTAGGTTGGTCATAATTGATGGATTTCAAAGTTTATGATCAATTACAATCCATCCTCTTTTTGTAGATGACTGTGTCGTGTTTGGGAAATCTATTATAAGGGAGTGTGACCAGCTCAGGGATATCTTGAATATCTATGCTAAGGAATCAGGCAGCTTATTAATTTTTCTAAATCCGAGCTTTCATTTAGTAAGAATGTGAGAATCAGCAAGAGGTTGGAGATCTGTGGTACTCTGGGCATAGAAGAAGTGTATAAGCACTCCAAGTATCTTGGACTGCCTACTATTGTGGGAAGATCGAAAAAGGTTATTTTTGAGAAAATTAAAGAAAGGGTTCGAAAGAAACTTAAAGATTGGAAATGCAGGGCTATGTCACAAGCGGGGAAGGAGGTTCTCATAAAAGCTGTAGCCCAAGCTCAGTGTTTATACCCCATGTATGTTTTCCAGGTCCCGGAAGGCACCTTGAATGAAATCCAGAAATTGATCTCTAACTTTTGGTGGGCACAGAAGGGAAAGGAATCAAAGATTCACTAGATTGAGTGAGATGAGATGTGTGACGATAAAGAAGGTGGAGGGATGGGTTTTAGAGAACTGAGATCTTTTAATCTCGCAATGTTGGGAAATCAGGTCTGGAATGTGCTAAATAGACCTCATTCTCTAATGGCTAGAGTTCTAAAGGCTCGTTATTTTCCTAAGACTGACATTCTGCATGCTAAACTGGGTTATCAACCAAGTTACATTTGGAAGAGCATTATGGCTGTAAAGGAGAAAATTGAAGAAGGATTCAGGTGGAGAGTAGGGAATGGAGAGTCTATCAGTATTTGGAATGACGAATGGATACGAGGGAAAAGTTTCTACCATGCTGACCCTGTCCATGGGGAGTTCTCTGATGTTCCTGTTAGTACCCTTATTGATGTCAGTAATGGGGGGCGGGATGAAGGAAAGCTCAAAGAGCTTTTTTACTCGGGAAGATCAGATCCTCATTGCCAAGATCCCTCTCCGATTATCTCTAGGCCCTAATAATAGAGTGTGGAAAGACTCTGATAAGGGAGCTTATTCCATGAAATCAGCCTACTATTTCTTTCAAAATCCTCTTCCAAGTCCTCTAAATTGTTCTCATAGTCTCATTCCTGAGGATTCTGAGGTATGGAAATCTATTTGGAAACTCCACATACAACCTAAGGTTCGTATATTTATGTGGAAGGTTTGTAAGAACATTTTACCTGTGGGTGTTCATGTTGAGGAATGGATTGGTAACGCTGCTCCTGAGTGCCCCTTTTGCAATCTCCCAGAATCTCAAATGCATGCCCTCCGTGAGTGTGACTGGGTTCGTAGAAGATGGAGAAACTGTGACGAGAAGGATCTCTTTGAGAAGGGAGAAGGGAATTCCTGTTTCTAATGGATTAAAGAGGTTATTAAAAGCTTCTCTAAAGATAGAATCCAAAGATTCAGCTCGATATTGTGGTACATGTGGAAAGAGCGATGTAATTAAAAGTTCACCAACCGAAAGATGGAGGAGGAGGAAATAATCCATCGAGCTTTGGGTTGGCTCTCTTTCTTCCTTGCTGGTCATGAAACCCCTGGTCCATATTCTCTTGCTGGACCGGTTTTTGCTTGCACTGTGCAGGATTGTCGTTGGGCTCCTCCTCCTGAGGGTGTTTTCAAGTTGAATTCAGATGCGGGGGTGATCCAAGATTGGGGGATTGGATTGGGATGTATCATCCGTGATAGTCGAGGAAATTTTGTTGGGGCGATGGCGAAGAAGGAGAGGGGTGTCTGTAGACCGATTGAAGCGGAATCAAAAGCTTTGGTGTTGGGTTTAAGGGAAGCGAATCGCAGATTGCTCAGTCCCCTTATTGTTGAAACGGATTGTCAGGTCCTTGTGAATCTACTTAAGAAGGGAGAAGAGGATTTTACTGATCTGAGTTTATGGTGCTACGAGTTGAAGGAAATGGCGAAAGTGAATGAGGATTTTTTGGGATGTGAGGTTATGTGGGAGTTTAGGCCGAGAAGGCCAACTCTGTAGGCCACTGGTTGGCTCACACTGAGTTGGGTTGGGATCAACAGATTGTTTGGGTTGAAAACCCTCCTTTATCTCTTTGCTGTATGATTGAGGCTGATTTGGGCCTGGGTCCCTGACCGATTAATATATTTATCAAGATTTCCTATAAAAGGGGTGGAATTTTCAAGTTTGTGGAGTCCACGGATTAGGGCCTTAAAAGTTTGTAGGGTCCACAGATTTCTTGCCTCTAAATACATTAAGCAAGCAATGGAGTCCATAATAGATTCAAATCCACAATCAAATATATTAAGCAAACAACTCCTTAAATGTTATAAGAATATTTATATATGATGATTTATAAGTCGCTGTGATGACTATGTTAAATAGCAACATGTAGTGGATAGAGCTTAGGATGTTAACACCAAATTTGTTAGCATAGTGCTAAGCTCAATCAAACAAAAACATTTTGTTTTAATGAATTTTTTTTATTCCAAAGGGTATATCATAACTAATGCAGATTTATAAAGGAAAGGAGTCGCTTGTCATTATTAAGGAGACCAAAGGAGTGTGATGTAGTCCATTAATTACCTATCCGGCTCATCACCACAAGTATCATGAGAAACCTTCTAGAGAAACATTAATATATATATAAAGAAGAAGTTGAGTTACTGTTGCCTAATCTCGCAAGCTGATTGGGCGACTATCATTTTTAAATTTTCATACCCAAATTTAATTAAATTACAACTTAGTTACTATAATGTATATTTTACATTTTGATACCCCAAATTTAATTTTAATGTAAAATTATTGAACAATTATTTTTTTGTTATCTAAATTTTATGAGCTTTTCGTACCTACATTTTTTTTTTAAATTTACATATTGGTTTAATGTTTAGATTTCACTTGAATCCATGAATCCAATCCACCAATCCTTTTGAATCAATCCATGAATCCAATCTACCATAACAAAAAATATAAATTTAGTTTGTACCATACAAGATGTTGTATCACTCAATTGTAGGAGAAGATTCGACCATTTTATATTTGCTCATTGCGTGAAATATTAAATAAATTATAAAAGAGAGGCGACTCTAAAATATTACAAGAGTGATTTTATAAACTCATTTAGTACATTTACGGGGTATTAAACAAACTTCTACTAACTACATGCAACAAAATAGGCGACATCTACATAATCAAGTGTCAATAAATTGCTACGGTGAAAATGGTTGACTGTTGTATTGACAGCTAGCTAAAATAATTGGTCAAAACGTTTCCATCATCTACTTGCTTTTCATTTCATTGTTCACTCTCCTTCCATAACTCTTTATTTATTTATTTCTTTGCCTTCTTCGTTTATCCGTAATTAGTGTGAAACGACTTCTCCACGATCCCAAAACGTCGTCGCAGCTCCATCTCCCAAAACGCTGCCGCTGCCACTCCAAGATAATCAAACGACGCCACTTGATGAGGCTTATCCTTTGAAGCGGGTTGGATCAGTCTCGATTACATCATCCTTATCCTTCATCGTCTTCCTCAGCCCCAAAAGCAGAAGACAGCTGCTTTCTCCAAGCACCAAGATGGCTACTCATCTTGTGCTTATCAAAAGCACAGCTACAACAACGGGTCTTCCTCAAACGGTCCTGAAGATCACTCCCTATTTAAAGACCATCTCTGCATGAAGAAGGGCAACGGTTGCAGCTTGAATAGTAGATCTATTAGGTTGTCAAGGGTTCGGGTATTTTGAACAATCTTCGGTCTCCTCATCTATAGAGAATGGTTCTGGGTAGATAGGAGTGGGAAGTTTGTTCGGCTCTTTCTCTTTCATCGATCTTCCATCGATTTTTCTTTCTTTCTTTCAGTTGTATTTTGATTGTATTACCCTCAAAAAGCAGTCATAATGACTGCAGAATAGCTTCAGTCTCCTAATCAAATTAGTATCCTTCAGTCTTCTCTTTTAGCTCTTCTCTAAGATCCAAAACCTAAATAGCAATTCCATCCAGCCTAGAATCTCAATTGATATCAGAGCCTGGTTCCTTGGTATCAGGATTAACATCCTCAAGGTACTATGGCTGGTTCTACATCTTCCGCTGGATATTCGGGAAACACAAATCCACCATGGTTCGATGGGTCGGATTACACAGTCTGGAAGAAAAGGATGCGACTGTATCTTCGAGGAGTGGACAGTGATCTTTGGAAAATAGTGCGAGAAGGTCCTCTTGAAATGGATGAAGATGATGAATCCAGTTGGAACAACGAACAAAAAACGTCGGCTCAACTCGATTCCAGAGCCATGCATATCCTCTTCTCGGCACTCAGCCCAGATGAACGAAGCCAAGTTGCCAGGTGCGAATCAGCAAAGGAAATTTGGGAAGCCTTGCAAGTCACTCACGAAGGTACGTCAGAGGTAAGGGAAACTCGAATTGATGTTCTGTTAAATGAATACGAAAGCTTTGAAATGTTTGCTGGTGAACAAATCTCTGATATGTATAAGAGGTTTAATGATCTCATAAACAGAATGAAAGGACTAGGTAGGCAGTTTTCAAGCAAAGAACTTGTCAGGAAAATCCTTAGGTCTCTCCCTCGAGAATGGATGCCTAAACGAACTGCAATAGAAGAAGCTCGTGACTTAACTACTCTGTCTGTTGAAAAACTTATAGGGTCTCTTTTAAGTCATGAAGAAGTCATAAACCAAATGAATAAGGAAGATAATAGAAGGCGCAAGAACATTGCCTTTAAATCTAAAGCACAAGACTATTACTTTGAATCAGATGATGATTTAGATGAAGAATTTGAAAATGAACTTGCTTTCATTGGAAAACGTTTTCATAAAATGATGAAGTTCAAGAGAGATCACAATCTAAGAAAAGCAAATTATGGATCTCCCAACAACTTTCAAAACAAAAGAAATGTGGTAAGCAAAGGAACTACTGAAAGAGTCTCTAGTTCATCAAGAAATATGTCCTTTCTAGAGAAATTTAACAATGATAATAAGGAAGATAAATCTGTAAATGAATCCACAATATGCTATAAATGTGGAAAAACAGGACATATAAGATCTAAATGTCCATTTAAGTCGAAAGAAAAAGCTCTTGCTGCCTCTTGGAGTGATATAAGCTCAGATCTCTCAGACTCAAATGGTGATCTGGCATACATGGCTTTTACTTCAAACCAGTCAGGCACAGACGGTGAGGAGACCAGCTTCGGCCATCAGGTAATCTCAGACTCTGACTCTGATTTGGATGATGAACTCAGAACAAAACCTGATTTTCTACATGCTCTGTCAAACCTACAAAAAGAATGTTGTCTATTAAAAAGCAAATACTGTCTAATAATGACTGAACTGCAACAAAAAAACAAGGAAGTGGAAAAACTGAACTATACAATTGAGTGTCAAGAGGAATTAAGGGAGTTCCAGTTTGTATTCATTTTGCTTCTCCCTAAAGCTTTTCTTTTCCACCCGAGCTAGAATTTTCGACAATTATATATGGAATGTTTGGCTAGGTATCTACACATATCAAATAATAGTTTCTATTTTTCTATAAAAAGGTAAATAATTATCATCTTAAATACATCACCATAAAGGAATTAAGCCTCAAATATACAAATTATAGTTCGGTACCTAAACTTAATAGATCTTTAGATTTATAACGCAGATTTATTTTTTTGGCACATAAGTCCCCAAAATATTGATTGAACATTACATTTTAGTATCTAAAATTTTTGCGTATGACATTTTGGTGCATAAACTTTTGAAGTTCTACAAATATGTTTAATTTTTGTATGTGTAATTAAATCACCATCGAATAAATTGGTATTCATACCTAACTCATACACATTTAGATTATGTAAGTACATATTCATACCCTACCCAAACCTATCTACAAACTTTCAAACCCATATATACGTCACCCATACCCTACCCATAATCAATGGGTCTCTTGGCTTTAGGTAAATATAATTTATTAGCCAAAATTTTCAAAAAAAATTAAATTGGATGTTGACTGCATATATCTCTTCTCAGTAATATCATATTGTCAAGTCAATATTACTAACAAAACTGTTAACAAAAAATTAATTTTAGACTAATAATACAAACAAGCACCATAACAGGTCATATAATACATGCCCATATACCATCTCCGCCCAGCGATAAGGCGCGACATCAACACATAGTTATGGTTGTAATGCATGTAAGTCATCTCGGTTGGTAATGTAAGTTTCGTTCGTTTGTATTTTTTTTTTTTTTTTTTGATCGGTGACCTGCTGAATAAATTAATAAGAACTAGGTTGCAGGTACATCATCCATGCTGAGCTGGTCAAGAAGAAAAATCGGGGGCCTATCAAGCCAAACCTCTCTAACATCCCATCTAGTTTCACTATGGGCCATAATATGAGCCACATTGTTTGCTTCCCTTCTACTATGGCGTACCATCCCAGTATGAGAGCCGGTTCTGTTCATATAACGCGTCACACTACGTCCCATCATTTCCACATCCAGTACGGTCTAAACTCGGGTCTTGGAGAATGCTGATGATGGAGAGACTATCCGACTCAAGGATGATCGGCCCCAACGCTAACTGGCTGGACAGCTGACTCCCAAACTCTGCTGCAAGCATTTCCGTCATCTCCACAATAAAGGATCCACGAATATTCTTTCCCGCCACCGCTAGAAGGCGTCCCCGGTGATCACGGATAACAGTTCCCAGCCCCGCACCACCTCCAGCTAGAAGACCAGCATCGGTGTTCACTTTTACCCAGCCCTCCGGCGGCCTTAGCCACTTCAGCGAGCTCTGATCCTGAGTCATATCGTCCAGTTGGTGTTGGTGCTGCTGGTATTCTTCTAGCGTCGCCTGGGCACGAGTAACAATTTCACTCTCCGGCCATTTTTTCTTGTTAAAGAGTTGCGCGTTTCTCTCGTTCCATAGGGCCCAAAGTAGCATAGCCCAGCTCTCAACCTCCGGCTTTGGTCGGTCCTTCATGACCTTCTCCACCCATCCTAGCATATCCATCACCCCTTGTATAGCGACATTATGAGACACCGAAGATGTCCTCCATATTCGACGACTCCAGTCACATTCCTTGAAGAAGTGGTCCTGTGTTTCGGTAAGATAACAAAATGGACAGGCATCGGTCCATTTATCATTATGTTTACTAACCTTGAAACCTGTAGGCAAGATTTCACGAGAGAAGCGCCACATAAAGCTGCTGACCTTTGGAGGAACATTAAAAGTCCATAGTTGCTTCCAGAAGCCCTTATCACCACACGCCACTATCCCCTCCTTCACTTTAAATTAAGTTAGCCACCTCCGATACCCATCTTTCATTGTGTAGATTCCATTGTCACTATAATGCCAAATTAAACAGTCCGGTTCACTCTTGTCTCGAAGTGGAATGTTCAGGATTACCTGGGCTATCTTGGGTGAGAAACAACGCTCAACCAAATTAGTGTCCCAGCTCTCCGTATCGGGGTCAATGAGTTGACAAACTAGCGAGTCCACCGGCAACTCTCTGGGTGTCGAAGTAACATAGTTATGCTCACCAGTAGGAAGCCAATGGTCACCCCAAATACGAACATGCGTTCCATTCCCAATGCGTCAGCGGAGACCCTTACAGAGAAATTCTTGCGCACTCAATAAGCTTCTCCAGACATAACTGGGCTGATAACCAAGATTGGCTTCAAGAATTGTGCTGCGCTTATGGTACTTGGCCTTGAGAAGTCTCGCAATCAGAGACTCCGGTCGTTGATGTAAGGAACAAAGTTGTTTTGCCAGCATTGCCATATTGAAGCCTTTCATGTCACGAAAACCCATTCCTCCCTCTTCCTTGTCCGTCACTAACTCATCCCGTCGTAGCCAATGAGCTCGCCTTTCACTTCCCCTTTGACCCCACCAGAATGTAGTTGTCAAGCTATTGACTTCCTCCGGGATACCGTCCGGGATCTTGAAAACAGACATAGGGTAAGTAAGTTGCGCCTGTGCCACAGATTTAATCATGACTTCTCGGGCGGCCACCAACATCGTTTTCTCCTTCCACCCCTTCAGCTTCTATTTGACCCTTTCTCGGAGCCCTATAAAGAGCTCCTTCTTCGATCGCCCGACCTCCGTCACCAAACCAAGGTATTTATCCTGCTTTTCCACAATTCTCATATCTAGAGTACCTCCAACGATGAGTCTGTTATGCACCTTCACATTAACAGCAAATGATACCTCGGACTTCTGAAAATTAATTAATTGTCCCGACTCACGGGCGTAGCCCTGCAGAATATGTTTCAGCTCTAGACTTTCCTGTTGTGTGGCCCTGGAAAAGAAAATACTATCGTCAGCAAAAAATAAGTGGGTGATCACCGAGGCTCCCCTCACAACCTCTAGTCCATGCAACCGATTCTCATTAACGGTTTTGTTTGTGTACGCCGATAAACCTTCCGCACACAGCAGAAAAAGGTAGGGAGATAAATGGTCGCCCTGTCGAATCCCTCTGCTCGGAGCAAAAGTCTCAGAACGATGACCATTCACAAGAACCGAGTATGAGACAGTCCGAACCCCCATCATGATAAGTTGTATCCACCGTTCTTCAAAGCCCAACTTACGCATCACACCCTCCAAGAATTTCCACTCAACCCTGTCATAAGCCTTGGCCATATCTATTTTTGCTGGAAACTAGCCATGTTTCCTCCGCTTACTCTTTTTCATCGTATGAAAGCATTCGAACGCTGCCATGACATTTTCAGTAATCAGCCGCCCTAGCACAAAAGCACTCTGCCGTGGGGAGATAATCTTATCAAGAAGCGACTTCATTCGATTTGCCAGCACCTTCGAAACCAGCTTGTATAGGACATTGCAGAGACTAATCGGGCGATACTCTATTGGCGAGGATGGTTGCTTCGTCTTAGGGATCAGGGCAATCAGGGTATGATTGAGATTATCCGGCATGACCGCCGTCTCAAGAACCTGCAGGACTGTAGCTACCACCTCGTCACCAATTACATGCCAGAACCTACGAAAGAAATAAACTGAGAGCCCATCCACGCCTGGGGCTTTACGTTTCCCCATTTGCTTCAAAGCCTCAACAACTTCTTCACGAGTGAAAGACCGAAGGAGGACAACATTATCCGCTGCATTCACACGCTGCGGAATAGAATCCAACACAGGCCAGGTTTGTGGGCTAGTACCTGCCGTAAATAACGCTCGAAAGTAACGTACCAAGCAATCCGAAGCCGCCTGCTGCCCAACATGCCATCGTCCAGACTCATCCCTTAGCCTCTTGATAGTGTTCTTTTTCCTTCTAGCTGATGCCTTCCGATGGAAAAAATTAGTATTCTTGTCCCCTCCTTTCAGCCAATCAACCCGAGAACTCTGTTTCCAGTGTTGCTCTTCATTATCTAACAGTTCGGCCATTTCGCGCTCCAATTGACGACATTGTTCCAAGACCTCCGGTGACTTTGGCCGTCTCTCTATTGCTCGCAACGCCCGTTGGATTTTATCTTTCTGTTTCGCAAATCGCGGAAACGTTTGGCGGCTCCACACTTCCAAGTTTTGCCTACAAAGGTCAAACTTAGTTAAAATGTCCGATCTGCCTAGAGCTTGCCACGTGTCCGCAATTATTTTAAAGCATCCTTCATGTTTTGCCCAGTAAGCTTCAAAGCGAACGAATGACCCCATCACACCTCAGTATCCTCAGAGCCCCGAGTATCACAAATGATGGTACAGTGATTCGAACTCGCCATGTCCCAGTTATATGCCGGGTGGTGCGGGTGAAGTTGCCTCCATTTGTCATTTTCCACAAACCGATCAAGCCTCTCCTCAATGTAGCCCCCCCTGTCCCACCGGTTTTCTCATGTGAAAGGATATCCAATAAAGCCAAGGTCTTGTAACTCTGCCGTACGTAAGCAGTCGCCAAAATTTTTCATTTCCGTATCTTGGTCAAGTTGTCGCCACGCTTCTTTTCTATGGAATAAAATTGATTAAAGTTGCCTCCACAGAGCCATGGGCCATCCCATTGATTCCGAAGGGACATAATCAAATCCCACATGCGCCATTTCTCACTACCAGTCGGCCACCCATAAATACCAGTAAACCGCCATTTACCTTCCGCTTCTTCCACGGCAATGTCCACGTGGTTGAGGGTTATATCCATGCAGGTGATGGTGAGTTCCTCGTGCCACCAAATACCCACGCCACCGGCCATACTTCTCAGCGAGATAACAGCCGACCAACTCTTTCCACGACTAAAGCCACACAAGTCACGAAGGGTCTCATTTTCCGAGACTGTTTGTTTCGTTTCCATCAGAAAAACCACATGGGGGGAAGTACGCCACAAAAGTGCGCACAATGAAAAAACATAGGATTCTCATCTATTGATCGAAGGGGATAAGTTCCCCACACCTTTTTTTACCGCTCCTTTTGTCACTACTGGATCAGTCGTTGTCCCTTTGGTGGTCCCGTTAATCGAAGGAGGACCCGAGGAGATAGGTACCCCATCCCTCATTTGAGCTTGTCTCGCCCCCCACCATTATTGTGGCCAGGCTTATGTTGATTTATATTTCCAACCACTTTCTTCGAAGAACTTTTCTACTTACCGAGTGTAGTGGACTGCACACCAGCATCTTGTGAGGGTGCCAAATTCTCCCCTTGCAAGACAGATGCAGTGGGGTTTTCCCCCTTTTTTTTTTTTGATGAATAAGCAAATTTTATTCATCAAGAAGGAGGGCTTCCCCAAAGAGAAAAAACCCTCCAACTGGAACCAAAGACGCACCACTGTCTTACAACAAACTTTTGACTAATAACCAACTAACAAGAAACAGAAAGATTCCCTCGACCACTACTGCAGAACTACACTACAATACTATGAACATAGTCTTCAAAGACAGCCACTTCCACCTGAGGGAAGCCAAGCCTGAGTAGGTGCAGCAGACCTTGCAACTTCTTCAACAGCTGATTTTCCACCAGAGCCTCTTCAGCCATGACTCGTCTACATCGTTCCCTCCATAGTTCAGCTACCGCCATTACCCAAAGAAGTCGACCCCTCTCAGACACAGAGTTATTCCCCCTGAAAATTGATATAACATTGGCCAAAGAGCCTTCCCAAGTTAACCCCACCACATCTCTGCCTGCAAACATAGCTTTCATCACACCCTTGGAATACTCACAACCAAAGAAAAGATGATCTCTGGACTCCTCTGCAGAAGAGCATAGTGGACACAGATTTACCACTGCTCTGTTCCATCTTTGGACTTTATCCAGTGTGGCAATTCTATCCAGCGGGGCACGTTGTTTTGGCATGGCCATACTTGCCGCATTCAGTACAGATACGATGCAGACCTTCATATTCAATATAGTACCGGATACCTTCAATCTTATATTGTGATAAGAGGGCCTTTGTGAGATCAACTTCCACACTAACCCGAGCAAAACGTCCCCGGTCACCCGATTCCGTCGCTCTATCCACTCAAACCGGCCTACCAATCTTGGCTGCAATTCGTTCCACAGCCTCCTTATTAATGAACTAACGCGGGAGCCCCGGTAGATGCGCCCAGACCATCGTTGACGCCACTTCAGCCATTTTTGGATTAAAGTTCCGGCGCCTGGGCCTGACTATAATATAGTAGTCCCTGATCATCCAAGGGCCGCCAACAGCTGCATACTCATAATCAACTTGGCTATTGCAGCGAACGGCATAAAAGCCGAAAGAGAGGCTTGATACTTGTATATTTCCAGTCTTAGCCCACAGGGTTTCCAGGCGCCGGGATATCACTAGGAACGAAAAGGATCGTCCCAAGACCTTGACAATTAAGGCCGAGCGCCATTCTCTTCTCCATATTTGTTTTTCCATCGCCGTATAGGCTATTGTAGGGCAACGAGGTCATCATCTTCCGGTATCTCATCATCCAGGTCGTCCTCTCTCATGGCTTCAGCTATGTCCTCTGAATCCGATTCGGCGATATACCATTCATCCTCAGGACGAACATTGCCAAACAGTTTTCTCGAGACTCCACCTGTCCATGCTGCTTCATGATGTTTTCTAATTGGCGAGCCCATTGGCTCCTTTATGGGGGAGAGGGTATCCTCCGCCATCTGTTCTTCACGAAAGAGTGGATTATCCACCATATGTTTTGCCTTCTTTTTTGGTTGCTGGGTTTCTTTGTCGCCTTTGGCGTTTGGAGAAGATGTTACCGGCGAGGGTCGCCGGATACCAGGGTTCATTTGTATTATTAGTAGTTTCTAATGTAAGTCCTATCAATCTTATTGAAGTAATCATAATTTGTAATAAACAAAAGAATATGATTTGTGATGTAAACTTTTCTAGTTTATAATGTGAATCTTATCTATTTGCACAATTTGTAGTTTATACTGTAAATTAGTTTGTTTGCAATAGAATGGAGAGAGGAGAATAAATTAAATTTCATAGAGAGAATAATAAGTTTCGTAGAGAGAGAATAAGTCATGTTTGCAATAAAAATTCTATTGGTCTGTATTGTAAGGTATCTATACTTTTATCATTTGGTCTTTATAGTTCTTACAATTGGTTTTAATACTTTTGGTTTAGGTTGTGCATAAAATGTCACTCCTATTGATCCTGTTCCTGATCGCTTGGTTTGGATTGGGGAGGCTTCTGGTGTGTATTCCGTTAAGTCGGGGTACCATTTAGCTTCTCAATTGCGGCGAGAGAAGGAATTGGTGAATAAGCAAGGGGTGGTTCCTTGGGACCGTGGATTATGGAAGAGGGTCTGGTCCACGTACTTGCTTCTGAAATTGAAGTATTTCATATGGAAAATGGTGCGTCGGGTTTTTCCGACAGGGGAGGCACTCAGCGTGAGAGGGGTGGATGGTGTGCGCGACTGTGCGGTGTGCGGGGAGGAGGAGGAGTCTCTTGAACACCTCTTCTTCCGCTGCAAGGTGGCTCAGGGGGTCTGGGGAGGGACTGGTCTTGATGGGGTTCGTGAGAGTTTTCCCCAGGATCATATGGCAACTTTCTGGAGACGGTTCCTCAAACAAGATAATTTGGATTGTCAGATTTTAATGCTGGTCGTGGCCCTGTTTTTGCGGATTTGGAAGGCGCGGAATTGGGTGGTGTTTGACTTTACTTTATACACCATACCTGTTTTGATTTCTCAATTTCGTTTGCAGGTGGTGGAATGGGAGGTGGCGAATGAGGCGCATCAGGTCGTGGATGGTGGTGGTGGCATGACCGGGCATCCGGGGGTCTTAATCAGGTTCTCAGCCCGGGCCTTTGGGTGGTTTGGGTTGATGTGGCTGTGATATGCGGGTCTCATGGTGCTCGGGGTTGGGTGTTACAAGATCCGTTGGGAAGAGTGGTGACTGCAGAGGCGAGGCTATACGAGTTCATTGAGGATCCTTTCCTTGTGGAGCTGTTGGCTTTCAGGGATGCGATGCGATGGTGTCTTACACGGGGCTTGACAACGATTCTTTTTGCGGGGGATGCTAAGGTCGTCATTGACAAGCTTTTGGCAGGATTAACCGAAGATACCCGTGGAGGGACGATTCTTGAGGAGATGATGGTGCTTCGTCAATCCTTTGTGCATTTCTGTGTCCAGTTTGTTGGTAGGCGTTGTAATAGGGTTGCCCATTTGGTGGCACGAAAAGCCCTTTCATTGTTCCCTTCTTTAGTTGGGTTCGATTTTGTTGCGTGGCTGTTTTCGGTCATTTGAACTCCTTTGTATCTGGCTGTTTTCTCGGTAATACGAGCGATCGTTTGATTAAAAAATATATATATATTAGAAGATTAATTTGTTTAGTTTTATGGTATAATTTGTATCCTTTTATCACGCCATTTGTATACGTTAAATTATGGGTTGTATAATTTATAATGTTAATTTCCATAATAATATTATATATTTTTATATTATGTATTAATGGTTCGTATACTTTGATCATCTTATTTGCATAGTTTGTATTACCATATTGTATATTTTTATAACCTCATTTATATACTTTGTAACAGGGGGTAAGAGGGACAAACGTTAATTGAGAATATTATTAATGGTGTCCATATGTTAATTGTGCACCTCAGCAACATTAAAGCTACATGTAATCAGGGGCGGAGACACCGTGTTAGTAGGGTGTTCCACGACACACCCTTGGGTCGGGGATACAAGATTAAAAAATAGGGGTATTAGTTTATGCTATAGTTAGGATTTGAACATGGAACCCCCTTACTATTTGCTTTGACATCTTCAACTAAACCATAATTACTTACGTGATACACTAATACATTTTATTGCATATATATAATTTACCGTTTACAAATAATAAGTAAATTAAATTAAAAACCTCATAATTACATTCTTATTCAAGAAGTAAACGAAAATTTAACCCTAACAAGCGAGCTTCTCCCAGTCCCACCCTTGACCCTTCATCTTCCTTCGTTCCTCTTTCCCTTTGGAGGCCGATCGGCAACAACTTCTTCGAAGAGTATATCTGAAAGACTGAAACTCTCATCATCTGAACTCTGAAGCCTGAAGGTATTGTTTGATATTCTGACCCTTGCTCTCGATTTTGTAGATATTTCCCTTCTTTATTAATCAAAATTGCAGTCAAGAGTCAAAACTCAATAACCCCGCGTGATGGCCATCTCAATTCTTTGATTTAATGGAACGCACAGACTATAACAATTGCCTGCAATTTTGGTCCCTGTAAATCAAACTTTGGGAATGAAAGCTAATGAATTCCGTTCATATTTGAGAGCTAACAATTGCCAACAAATAACAGTCCCCACGTGATGCTTTTCTTTCTAGTTTTGGTTTGTTGAATTAATTCATTGTTTATTTTGAATGTGCAGATTTCTTACTATGGATAAGTTCGTGATAAAAAGGCCTAGGAAAACCCCAAGGATTCAACATCACGAAGGTAGTGCATCAAATGCACATGGAGTTGATTCTAATTCAACTACAATTACACCATCATTGTCACAACAGCTTACGGTAAACCATTTTAGGCCTTGCCTCGCATCTAAAGAAAGTGAACTTGATATGAATTCTTTGAAAGTTGACCCTGCCTTGAGACAACAACTATCATGTTTTCATGTTAATGTTCAAGATATGGTTAGAAGGATATTATCTTCAGAAAGGTGCTTGCCAACCTGTGAATCATAATTTTCTTTCTAGAGATATGTGGGGAAGGGCTCGACACTTTAAACCTTCTTGGTTTAAAAAATATCATTGGTTGGAATACAGTATCTCGGAAGATGCTGCGTATTGCTTGCATTGTTATTTATTTAGGATGGGTGATGGCAAAAAGGGTGGAGGTGCTACATTCATTCATGAAGGTTTTAGAAATTGGAACAAGGCAGGAGAGAGTTTTGATAAGCATGTTGGTCTTGTCAATAGTGAACATAACAAGGCTGTGAGAAAATGTGAAGACTTGTTGAATCAATAACAAATCATTGGAGTGGCTTTATGTAAACAATCAGATCAAGCAAAGATAGACTACAAAACTCGTCTGAAAGCTTCAATTGATTGCATCAGACATTGTTTACGCTAAGGTCATGCACTTCGTGGACATGATGAATCAGAATCTTCAAAGAATAGAGGGAATTTTATTGAGCTTTTGAAGTTCCATGCTCGTGGTAGAGAGAATGTCCAAAGTGTAGTGTTGGAAAATGCTCCAAGAAACCTTCAAATGACTTCCCCAGACATTCAAAAGGATATTGTTCATGCACTTGCAGTTGAAACATCTAAGGAGATCATATGTGACCTTGGAGAAGATCTTTTCACCATTTTGGTGGATGAGTCTCGTGATACATCAATTAAAGAGCAGATGGCTATTGTGTTGCGTTATGTAGACCTGCAAGGAAAGGTAATTGAGAGATTTCTGGGAATCTCTCATGTTGCAGATACTAGAGCTTTGACACTCAAGATTGAAATTGAATCAATGCTTATCACACATGGATTGAGCTTATCAAGAGTTAGAGGACAAGGTTCTGATGGGGCTAGAAATATGAGTGGCGAAATCAATGGGCTTAAGACTTTGATTTTGGCAGAAAATTCATCTGCTTACTATGTCCATTGTTTTGCCCATCAGCTTCAGTTAACCCTTGTTGCTGTTGCTAAACAGCATGGTGATGTCAGTGGCTTCTTTCAAGTTGTTGGTAGTATGATTAATTTGGTAGGAGGATCTTCTAAAAGAATGGACAACATTAGAGAAAGTCAGGCTGTCAAAGTTGCTGAGGCTATATGTCATGGTGAACTAGAGACCGGACAAGGGCTGAATCAGGAAGTTGGTCTTAAAAGGCCTTGTGATACTCGTTGGGGATCTCATTTTGATACTCTTCTTAACTTACCTGTGATATTCTCATCACTTATTGATTGTTTGGATGTCATCAGACAAGAGGGGAGTAGTGGTACAACAAAAGGTGAAGCATTTAACATTTTGATGTTAGTTCAAACTTATAACTTGGCATTCATCTTGAAAATGATGATTGGAGTACTTGCAATCACTAATGAATTGTCTGTAGCATTGCAAAGGAAAGATCAAGATATAGTGAATGCTATGCACTTTGTTCATGGGGCAAAACTCAGGTTACAAGACATGAGGGATAATGGATGGGAGCCGCTTCTTGAGAGTTTTAATTCTTTTTGCAACAAAGAATGTTTTCCAATTTCTAGAATGGATGATCTATACATTCATACGGGAAGAGCAAGGAGAAATGCTCCACCGATCACCAATCTACATCATTACCAAGTGGAGTTATATTTTTATACAGTTGTGGATATGCAGTTAAAAGAGCTTAACAGTCGTTTTGACGAGGTTAACACTGAGTTGTTATGTTGTGCTGCTTGCTTGAATCCAGATAATTCATTTGGTGACTTTAACAAGGAGAAGTTGTTGAAGCTTGCTACCTTTTATCCAAATGAGTTCTCTGAACAAGATATCTTACATCTTCATCCTCAACTAGACAGTTATATCTATGAGATGAAGAGAGATAAGAGGTTCACTGGAGTAAAGGGGATTGCTGAGCTTTCTAGTAAGATGGTTTCTATAAAGCGGCATCTGGGATTTCCATCTGTGTATCTTCTTGTGAAGTTAGCATTGCTGCTACCAATCGCCACTGCAAGTGTTGAAAGAGTATTTTTGGCAATGAACTACGTGAAGAACACTCTTCGGAGTCGAATGAGTGATGATATCATGAATGAATTTTTTAGTAGGATACATTGAGAGCGACATTCTTGATAGTCTGGATGATGAATGTATTTTACAGACTTTTCAAAATATAAAAACCCGTGGTGGGTCACTATAAAAAATTGGTAGTCATTTTAATTTTTTTA